CACAATAGAGAGTTCCTGATGGGCTCATCCTTTGTTGCTCTTTGTATCTTCTAGTACAGAGATTTGTTGTATTTTTCTTGCCTTTTTTTTTTTTGTGTTGCCCCTAGTCTGCCTTCCCTGCTTCGAGACTTCACGTTGGACAACAGCTACATGTTAGACGTGTGTTATTCACCCACCTGCTTTGTTCCTCTTAGCTGTTTGGAGGCAGGCTTACCGAGGAGAGTGTGTTGGCTGTGCCTGTAACGTTCATAGCATCTTTGCTTGGAGAGAAGACAGCACTGTATTTCATAGCTTTGGCTCTAGCTGTATCTGAATTGTAACCAAATTCTCTTCCCAGCACAAACAGCTGCTCTAGTGAAGTCACAGACTTGGAGCCAGCCCAGCAGACATGCTGCAGCTACCAAGGATGTGGGCGGGAGCGAGACAGTAGCTTTGTGAGCTAGTTCAATTTTTGAGAGCCAAGCTAATGGGACTGGGAAGACAGGCCAGGGGAAAAGAGATTCTGACCTACCCAGTTCTTACGCTGTCTTCCCCATGGCAGAGTGGGAGTTTTTTCCAGGAGAAGGCAGAGTAATGTGACCAGCATATCTTGTGTGCTGTCATATTCTCTTCCTAAGGGAATGAGTGCATGCAGTGCAGGGGGTTTGCCCTGGAATTTGTTTAGTCACATGCGTGAACACATGCACATACATCCATGCAGTGGTCAAAATAGGCTGGCATATGTGAAAATCATGTGCTGTTGGATTCTGCAGCTGTGTAGTTGAGCAGAAGTTATACAGGTATTTACACATTATCATTTTCAGTGGGTACACATACAAAATGTATAAATTGTGTGTGTGTGGCCTCTGATGTATGTATGCACACACACACATATGTTCAGAGACATGTGCTTTGTGGTGTTCCTGGAGAGGTCATGTTTCACAGCCCGAGACCAGCCCCAGACAGATGACAGTTACCCTTGGTTTTGAGAGCTCTGTTCATGCCAGAGGAGAAAAGCTGTTGACCACTATCTTCACCCAAGAGTTTTTGTTATCTTCCTAGACAATTTGAGCTCAGATATGAGTGCTTTCAGATGAGGATGACACTGTAGAATTGCACTGGCTGTTCTTTGGAAGTCAGTTAGTTGCAGGATAGAGAAAAGTCCAGTGAATTTTTGCTGCTGGAGAAATGTGCTTTAGCATTCTGAAGCAGCTGGAGTCCATCTGTGCAAACAGAATATAAAACAATGAGGTAGCAGTAGACAGCGTGGGAAGGAGGAAAGCATGCCCTAGTGGAAGAAAGTATCTTGCCCTAATGGAAGAAAGTATCTTGCCCCATTGCATGAGTCTTCTCTGCCTGCTATTTTTCCCCTGGCAAGATTATTTTTTCCTGTTTCCCAGCAGCCAGGCTCTTCCCCCTGCCCCACTCCATGCTCTGCTTGCTCCATATGTGTGCTTGTCTCTTGATGTCAGTCACGCTACTTGATTTGTAATGAGGAAACAGAACGCCTTTTCCTCTGCTGCATTTGCTCCCCCCAGTCCTCTGAACCCCTCAATGCAGGAGGATTGGATTTAGCCACGGAACAGCAAGCATCCAAGCAATCTCTTAGGACTCTGCAGAGGCAGCTGGCATTTGAGAAATAAGGGGCAGTGGGGAGCAATGTCTTCAGGGATCACAGCAAGCAGCTACTGTACTCGTTTGCTTTCCTGGTTTGTGACGCAGGGATAGCTACTGCTGTGTTAGCTGACTGCAGTGTCTCACCTTGGAAGCCAGGAAGGCCTGTGCATGCTTTTCCTCCAGTCATTAACCAGCCTCTTGCTTTGGCACTGTACCTGTGTTTCAGACCTGGAGGCATGTTCAGATGCTCACTGTCCAGGTTATTACACCTGAAACATCTGGTCTTGACTGTGATCAGTCATGAAATTGCTTTTCATGGAATTGCTGTCACAATGGAGGAGCTGCCTTTCAAAGGCCCAGAGATGCTTTTCTCCCCCAGCACAAGGTGATTTTCTGAGGCAGTGTGTGGTTTTGCATTTGAGAATACAGCTGTCTTGGACTCCTTTGATTAAGTGTATGTGTGGCTATATTGACTTCATTTTTACAGGATCTCAGAGTTTGTCACAGCTGAAACTCTTGCTGCAGGAACATTGCTTCGGCAGAATTTACCTCAGATAACATTTTTGCAGTTTCAAAACTTGGGGTCAGAGGGAAATCTGAACAGAAGAGCTACCCAGAACTTAGACTGGATCTCACACAACTTTGGTGAAGGCCATAGCTACACAGCTGGTGTCCAGCCTTCTCAGCTTTTCAGTTGGGTCCTCCTTCTGTCTGTTTTTTTTAGAGGAAGTGGAGGTCAGATCTCTGGATCTCAGTGGTACCTGCCTGAGGGGCACTGTGTTGGCCGAGTAGCTCTGCTCTTGCTGATTTATTCGTGTCTGGCTTAGCTGTCTGCACCTGCTGTTGCCACAGGGGGGATTTTAAACCTTTCCTTGACAGACCTCAGTGTTCAATAGTAAAAGCATGTTCTGAGAGACTGTACAGGGTCTGAGGGAGAGTATGGGCTCATATGAAGTCTCTCCAATATCTCTGTCATTCCATATTCCTCCATTCCACAGAAGATTTTTTTTTTCAAGGGGAAATCCTTTCTTTGAACCTTGGCTTTCACACATGGTGGTTCTCTTGAAAATTGATGACTTGCCCTCAAACATGGAAGGAGACAGGGGCACAAGAAGACAGCTGGGCAGACTTCTCATGAGGCATCTGTCATTTCAGGTAACACCCAAGCTTTGTGAAGTGGATCTGTAACTTGGCAAGTTACAGAGCACTGGAAACTGCAGTGACATGGATGAAGTCCACTCAGCCTTCAGGCTGGCTTAGTCCTGTGTGGACAAAAGGGAAATTGTGGACAGGAGGAGCCTCTGTGGTGCCTAAGGTTAGCTATCACAGTGCTCTCAAGATACTGCTGCACCTGGCCAGCTGATGCCAAGCAGCTTTTTGGAGGTGGAAGGTTTCCGGGCAGAGAAATGGGAACTTTTTTTGTCGTTATTCATGTCAGGTGCTAGGGACTAAAATTACAGCAGTTTTGTCTCTCCACAGACCGTGCCAGAGGAAAGCCAACATATGCACCAAGCATTTAGTTTCTCAGTCTCCAGGATTACAGTTTATTAAGTCAGCTTTCTTATTTTAGTGCTATGCATCAACCATCAGCTTCAGGGGCCTCATCAAATTCTGGGGCTGTGAGAAACTTTTCAGACTAAAGATGAGAATTGTCTCTCCATGCCTGTGCTACTGAACTGAGCAGGAAGCCTGATGTGGGATGCTTCTCTAAGTATTTATGTCTGTGGGAATCAGGCACCAGCTGGTTAGGCACAGATTGATTTTTTGCAAAATTTTCCTTCTCTTCCCTTGTTTCCAGCCAGTATAAAGACCACATCTTGCTTGTGTTGATAGGATCATTTTAGCAGCTAGTGGCCCAGGGGAAAAGCTAGTCCTCTCTGGGTTCTTGTCTGTTAACCATGTTTGTAGGTACTGCTGCTATGCAATTAATTATTACTGCTACTGGTTTCTCCTTCACTTTTATTAAATGGTATTTTCTGTTTGCAGTCTGCTAAATGATTTGTTGGCTTTAGATATGTTCATGTAATAACTCCTGCTTTCCTGCCAGCACCAACTTCACTGCCTGGGGTAATGATTTTTCGGCTGTTCAAAAATGAGTATCAAAAGGTGTCCATTTAATTACAGGATATGTTAGTATAAATTCCCTGCATGCGCATTGCAGTAGTCCATTCCCTGCTGCAAATCAGTTTTCCTGCTCTTTGTTCATTTTTCTCAGGGAAGGTTTTCTAGGTTCAGTATTAACATACCTGGCTTTTCACCCTCTATAAATTTAGGCCTATCTGTATGTGCTGGGATAGGAATTTTGTGGGAAACTTAAATGACTTGGAAAGAAGTAGTCTGCAAGCAGTGGAATTAATAAAGCTTTATGTCCTATTGGCTCTCCCAGTTGAATTCCTTGTGGTCTTACAGTGGTGTGACATCCCTCTGTGGATCCACAAATGTTTAAAGAAATTTGAGTTAATTTTTCACTTTTTTCCTCAGAGAATCCCCAGTAATAGGATTTCATTTTTTTCTCCATCTGCCTGTCTCCAGTACACTGATACCCTTGGATCTGCTACTTTTCTGCCAAATTGGGTAGAAATTATCTGTTGGGCTTTTAAAGTTAGTAAGCTAGGCAGGTGTGAGCACAGAGGATTTTTGTCCTGTTTCTGTAGCAAACCAGGTTCAAAAGACAGAAATTATTAAGTATGCCTTTTTACCTTATGGGTGTTCCAGGATGGACAGGATAAAAAGTAACCCATGTGTATAAACAAGGTATGGAGCAGGTTTCAGTCAGTACAAGCTTGCACTGGTTTAAAATGTGCAGCTGAGAGCTGGAAGACTTTGACATCTCTTAAACTCGTGCCTGTGTGTGCTGTAGTGGTGTGTCACCCAAGTATTCCTGTCCCGTTACACGGAACCATCTAACCAGGCTCACTCACTATTCTGAAATCCTGTAGTGTGCCCCATTATTTTGTTTTCAACACCTTCCTGCTCTGACAATGGAAGAAACTACTTCCAGTAACATGCTGTTTGTGTTAAGAGTAATTGTACATCAGTTGGTTAGAGGGAAAGAGCATTGCCTAGGTCCCCTCACTCCCCCACACAGACGCTGTCTGGAGCCACTCTGTACCTCCTCCCACTGCCTGCCTTCCTGCAGAGCTGTGCTACTACAGCTCCTTCCAAGAGCCTGCAGCATTCCTAATCCATCCGCTCCATCTCTGTCTGCCTTTCCCTGTCATGGACTGAGGCCTCATGCGCTAAACACAAGCCTGGTTTTTAGTAATTGCTATTCCCAGAACTCAGCAGGCTGAAGGGGGTGGAAGGGCGATAAACATCAGAGTTCAACATCCAGACAAACACAGCAGAGCACACACAATAAATACATCCGCCCCCAAACGCAAATACATCAGAAGAGGTTCCTGCCCCAGGGCTCAGAGCAGAGCAGGCTCAGGCAGGAGAGCAACATGATGAGGTGAGTGTAGTCACAGGGACCTCCCCAGCGCCTCTGGCCACTTGGCTTTGTGTGGGCCTTAGAAGACATGAGTGTGATTCTCCTATTCTTTAGCTGTTGCTAGGTATGACTCCACTGATAGCCCTGATTTCTTCCATTGTCAAGTGAGGAAGGTGTTGGGCATGAAGGCTTCAGCTAGCACTGAAATACCTGATTTAGTACTGAGACTGGCAACTTGGATGTGTGGCTTTTGGGGTATGATCTGAGTTGGTGCTCACTCTTTCTCCATTAATCTCTGTTCCTTTGACACAGGCTCTTTGTCTTGCTAGCTATGCTTTACAGTGGAGCAAGCAGCAGCATTGTGCTGCAGAAAATGTATGGGAGGATCACATCCCCCAACTTCCCAAATGTCTACCCAAATCACAAGGAGAGAATCTGGAATATTACTGTTCCCAAGGGATATTCTGTCCGCATGTACTTCACACATTTCAACCTGGAGCTGTCCTACCTGTGTGAATATGATTATGTGAAGGTATGTGTAGGGCAGGGTGACGTGTAGCAGGCTAAGTTGTTAAAAACTGTGTATATGTAATTCTGGACACATGCAGGACCAACATAACTTGCACTTGATTCAATCTGCTAGTAAACTTAAGGCTCAGCTGATTTCTAAATAATGTGTTTATTGAGGCCCATGAGACTGGGAAGTAGGACTAGTTGTCATGTTGGAACATCTGAAACTTGAGTTGTTAGTGCGCAGAAAATTCTGGTATTCCCCTCTTGTGAAGCAAAAGGTTTGAAATTTTGCCCAAAATAACATTTGAGCTTCGTTTTGCTGAAGTTACAGTGTGTGTTTTAAATTAACAAGTAGTGCTTTACACAGAGCATAATGGGAGACCATGAAAGTGTAAACGATAGTCTAAGCAAGATACTGTCAGCTTGTCTAAATGTGCACTTGCAACACTTGTTATGGTGCATTTGCTAGCTAATGTGAGAAACAACCTCAGGAAGAGAAACAAAGATACTGTCTTGGGGAAGTGTTTGAGTGATGAGTGGTGTCCCTGAAGGGTTTGCACTCCATGTGCTAGCGTGTGCTCTAGTCCAGGCGCCCCTGTTGCCGATTTGAGGCCGTGCTACCTCCACACTCCTTTTGTTGTTTGCATGGCCCTGATAGATATTAAAGAGAGAGCTGTATACACAGAGACTATGTAAAACCAGTGCATCAGCAGTACTTCTGAATCTGCTGGAACCAAATCAGGCAGCCTTGTTCCCATTTTCAAAGATCTCATTTGCACGGTTTCATATGGCAAGTTGCTGTCACTTCCCAAATCCGTGTTATTCTTTGTGTAATTTCCTTTGGGCTGGCTGGGATACTCATTCCTGGTAGGTCTGTGGTACACAGTTCTATCACTACCATGTACAGCATGAACCCTGTATATCAGGACATTTATCTTGTATTAAAAACACAAGATAAATGAAGAGCTGGAACTGTAATAAGTGAATTGTAGAGGAAGTGAGTCACTAGTTTAGAGACCTTTTACTGTACATTAGAATTTGTCAGTGTATGAAACCTTTTTACCCCAGTTGTCTCTGGCTTTACCAAGATCTGATTGTCACTGAATGTGCCAAGTTAACAAGAGCATTCTAAAAGCATGGTGCTGATAGCCCAGGCTGCCATCACAGCTTTATGTGGGCCTCTGAAAGAATAAAGGGAGACAATATTATGGGCTTAAGTCACAGAGAATAGGGAAAATCTTCTCTTATCTGTCCCTGGATCTGGACTGACCTCCAGAAGCACCATTTGAGTGCATCCAAGCCTCCTTTCTCACACCATTAAACACATGCTGTCCAAGCCATGGCATCAGGTTGGGAAAAGCAAAGCTCTGTGTTCGTCTGGTAGATTTGTCTGCCCATTTTGCAGCTGAGCTCTGGTGGGAGGACGTTGGCTACGCTGTGTGGAAAGGATAGTACAGACACTGAGGAGGCTCCGGGCAACAAGACATACATCTCTGTTGACAACAACCTCACGGTAGTGTTTCGGTCTGATTACTCCAATGAGAAACCATTCACAGGCTTTGAGGCATTTTATGCTGCTGAAGGTAAGAGACCAGCCCCTCTTGTAGATGGGGGAGATATGGCTGTGGTGGGTTTGGTGCTTCCCTGAGCTCTCAGAGTCTGGCTGCTGGTGTGAGGTGGGAGAAGGCAGTTTCATTGTACAGAGGCAGATGCAAAAGGACACAGCAACCAAAGGCAAACAAGCCAACCTCACAAAACACAGATGGCTCAGACCAAGGCAAAGTGTTGTTGAAGGGTGTTGGTTGCCTAATTCTGTGCTTCACCCATTAGATATCGATGAGTGCAAACAGCTGTTTGATGGTGAACCCCTCTGCAATCATCACTGTCACAACTACGTGGGGGGCTACTATTGCAGCTGTCGGATTAGCTACACACTGCATGAAAACAAGAGGACATGCACAGGTGAGCTCTTGCTAGATCAGGAGATACCTCCCTACCTACAACATCCACTTAAATCCAGTCCTGGCACTAGCATTGTGATAAAAGCTTCGGTTTTTTGTTGTTTTCAGTGCTTCCTATGTGCCTAGTGCAGCTGGAGGGAGGTGCAGGGTGTCCGTCAGGGCTGTGAGCAGAGGCCTTGGTTTGTAGAGTGGGCTAATGGCTGTTGTTAGGGACAGCAGTATTGTCGCAGTGAGATGGTGCACTGGCAGTTGGTTTTGATTACTCCTCAGGCAGCATCCACCAGTGTTCAGCTTTAGACAGATTGAATGGAGAAGCAGGAAACCTGTCTTATCAGTTCCCACTGCAGACACTTCCAGCCTTCACGGCTGCTAGTGCAGACAGCCTGAGCAAAACTGAGTGTACCTTGTTCCCTGGGTACTGAGATACTGAGTATTCTGGACACGAGTTAGTAGATGTGTTGGAAAAACTAACAATTGAGTTGTGAATCTCATGGAGAAATAGTTTGCTTACTCTCCCTGGAAGGACACGGGCCAAGAAGCAGCACAGTTCACATATCACCGACACCAGATACGATGATCCACTCATTAAATGGGAGAGAAGGCCTGGCACAGATCTCTTGTTCCTGAGGGCATACAGTGTGAGGTTTACCTGGCTGGCTGCTGCCTGGCTCTGCTTCTCAGTTCACCACTGGGGAAAGCTCATGTGTCATCAGGCAGTGGCGTGTCTGTCTGAATTAGTGCGGTGATTGACACCTCAGGATTCACTTTCAGTGAAACGTGTGCCTGCATGTGGTGTCACATTCATCCTTTGAGGGTGCAGCTTTGCCCACCTGGAGCTGAATTCTGTCTGGAAAGAACCAGCACACATACTGCTCACTAAATATGGTCATAGGTGGGAAGATAGTTTCTTTGAGCTCCTCAGTCCTGAAATATAGAATTGGATTTAACTTCCAGTGCTAAGGCTGCCTTGGTATTTAGCTTCCCAACTCCAGCCTGTTAGAAACTCTCTCCAGCCACGGCTGACTGGGTCTAATTCAAGATTCAGACTCCTCATATCTCCAGTGTATTGGAACAGACCTCTTCATTCAACCTTCCCTTCCTAAAGTGATGGCTTTTAGCACAAGTATATGGATTTACTTATGCTATAAAGCATGTGCCTGGTCTTAATGTGAAGATACAAAATGAATAGCTGTGAACTAGCAGACTATAACAGCTTCGTGTTGACCATTCACGTGTGTACTTACGCCCTCCTCCTTGAATGTAACACTAGGAGAGGGAGCTTATCAGCGGCACTGGAGGGCTGGGCTGCCCTGATGAGTAGAGACATGTGCCTTGGGAATGACTGTGGTGCAGCCAGTGTGCTGGAACCTGTTCACATTTCCCAGGCCTTTAGATGCAGGTGCTGAAGCTGCTCTAGCAGCTAGGCTGGGCTGCATAGGAAAGGTCTCTGCAGATTGCCTTCATGAAATGAGGGCAAAAGCTGCCCCTTTGACTTTTGGGCTCCTGTCTGAGCAGGCTGATATTGACAGGCTCTTTTTTTCTCCTTTATTTTCCAGCGTGAAATAATTAAGCTTCTCCTCGCTTAGGCAGAGATGGAGACAGATGTGCTGGGAAGAGCTGGTTTGCCCTCCCTCCTGACCTGCCTGTTGCTGTCTGCCCAAGGGCTGCAGGCTTCTCTTGCTTCGTGACTTGTATGTCTTGGTTCCTTGCCTTTCAGACCTGCCTCCTGCAGACAATAAAGAGGCTGTTCCTTGTTGAAAGCTGACGGCAGCCTCTGGGGCATTCATTTTCTTGCATTTCCCATGTGTTACTAGGGGAAAAAAATAAGGTGGGTAAGGCAGGAGCCGATAAGAGAGAAGCCATTGTGAAAGGCCCCCAAACATCACAGCTACCTGAAGACTCTTGAATTTCCTGTCCAGTTGTTGTTGCTTGACCTTCCATAATTCTTGAACTGCAACAAGACCAGAACCACACATTTGTTTCCTGATGTTCCTTGTTGATATGCTCGTCTGCACCCAGACTTGTAGATTGAAACTATATTCAGAGCCCATTCACTCTTTGGAAAGGTTTGAAATTTTTTTTTTTTTTTAATCCAAATGTTGTGACTCCAGTCATATATCCCATTGGGAACCTAGCCTTATGGCTGAAATGTGTTCTGGTGAGCAAAGCCTCAGGGCTCCAGGATTCTGGTAAAGTTATATGAATGTCACCAGGATCGCTTTGGTGTCTTACCATGGTACAAGGGAAGGCAACAGTGCCCTCCCTGCAGCAGATGCAATACAAGGATGCTGTTCTTCAGCCCCTCACCGTGCCTCTCGCTGCTCCACATCAATATCCATTTGTTGTCCTTTTAGACTGTATCCTCTTTGGGCAGAGACCATGTTCATAAAACATGTTGGAGAAATGCCATGCTCTGCACTTGTCAGGGACTAGAGCTCCCCAGGGCTGTGGAGGAAACATGATTACTGCAAGAGGTTAATGAGTCAGAGCTGAGCAGCTGTAGGTGAACTGCTGAAGATAAAACAAAGCTTTGTTTAAAAAGCTTGAGCAATTAAGAAGCATTAGTTGATTAGCATTTCCTTATTTCTGCAATTTAGCAGGAGTTGCTTTTAATAGTAATTTATGAGGCTCAGATTCTCCAACCCCATCTCTACTCTTTAGTACCTGGAGTAAACAGGGGAGGAACCGTTTTCCAAGTGAGCATGGGAGGGAATGGAGAGTCTTTTAGATGAGGCACTTGACTCACTTCAGGTCACTGCATTTGCAGACTTCGCTGTTACGTTGGGCAAGTTGCCTGATAGTAGCTTTGAACATCCATCTGCAAAATGGGAGGTCACATCACTGCCTTGACTTGCTGGGAGGATGCTTAGTAAGTGTCTTAGAAGGTAGATGCTGCAGACAACTGATCCAGGGGTAGAGTGGCTGTGCAAGCAGTTACCAAGGCTTACTTCTGCTATATTTAATCTTGTTCAGAAGCTGTTTCACGGTCACAGTGAATTGTGATCAAAGCAGCTTGAAATTTTGTCACGTCTCGGTGATACAATTTATGACCCACCTTTCATTGGAGGCCTAATGAGCTAATGACAATGGACTTGCAAGTTCTGAGGGGGTCATTTTTCAGAGTTCAGGCCTCTGGCAAACAGCTCACTGTGATTCTAATAAAAATATGGCCTAAGCATAATTGAGCACTCTCTGGACAGCTCTAAAGTTTGGACTGAGAAGTCAAGGCACAGCATTTCTGCTGGCAGATGTTAAAAAATTATTTGATCCTTTTTGTGCTGGCAAGTTTATGACTTTTTTGCTTGCAGACTTATGGAAAAATACTGCCCTGACAAAGGCAACTCCCCATGGCCACATCCAGGACGTATTAGAAAGGAGTAAGATCCAGTCCAAGCCTTTTCATCTTCAAGCTGCAAATTCCCTTGGACTAGCAGAGTATCTTCTGTTGGGTCAGCTAGTTTGGGCTACTCAAGTGAGCACAAGTCAGGAGAGTTTATTGGTGATGACTTGTATTTTTCCAAACTCTCATGAAAATCTCACATCAAAATTAGGAAACTGAGCTTAAGGGAGACACATGTAATGAAGTATGAAGAGCTATTATTAGTCTGTATCTTTCTCCTCCTTTAGTCCTTCAGAAGAAGGTGAAAGCCAGTTTTCTGAATTACTGGGGTATTAATGGGGCCCTGTTCTTATTTGTACTATAACAGAGTATGGGGATTCCAGCTCTGTGCAGAGGCATGGTGCTATTTTTTGCTACGTGAACACAGAGCGATTGCTGCCCCGAAGAGCCTCTCAACCAGCACCTGGGCAGCAAAGAGCACTTCTGGAATATGCATTGTTAGGATGGATCCGGGCTAAGGATCCCTCGGGCCCAATCTCCTGCCTTTGATACTGGCCAGCGTCTTACGCTTCAGTGGAAGACAGTTCAGTAAGTGATTTTTAAAGTATACTCCCATACCAAAGCGTAATCCTGTGCCATAGATCCCGTGTTGTCTGTTCTACTTAAACTGGACTTATGGCACCAGCATATAGAAGTTTGCCTTAAATTTCATGTGACAGTATGTTGCACAGATTAATTATATGCTATTTCTTAATACCGTTTTTGCATCAGATTTGTGGTTTTCAGCCTTTAATTTCATCATGTGTCCTTTGCCCTTTTACTGCTAGAGAAAGTAAACAGCCTATAGTGTTTGGTTATATGCAGTGTTTTTCTTTGTCTACATGCATATATTTGTGTGTGTGTACGTGTGCTACCACATGGTGGTCTTTTCTCCACCGTTTCTCTCTTACATGTTTTTATGCTGAGCTTCAGTCTAAGAACAATCCTTTAAACATACTTTAAGGAAGTAAGATGGCATGATCATTATAGTAAATAGAAGCCAAGGTGCTGCTGCCTTCTCACTGAGGTTCTTGCAAGAGAGAATTTAACCTTAGCAGCCTAAGTATCCCTTCTTTACACACTAGATCCCATGCCCAGGGAAAAATGGTAATAGGAAAGGATTCTGATGCAGAACTGGCAGAAGATTTGAGATTCTAACTTCCTAATGATTTCAGTGGGGAGTTAGGGGTGTAAAGATAGTACTCATTATATTGTGGCTTTTATGCGTAGGGTAAGGCTTCACGCTGAGTCTTTTTTCACACCCAAGGATTTCATGTTTTCATTCCGATCTCTTCCTATAATTGCCTCAGACTACTCCTGCAGGGGCTGTAGAGCTGAGACAGATATTAGCAGCATGGGGAAATTTCAGTTTTTAAGAGAAGGAGATTTTTTGCACTTGCATGGCCGTGAGCAGTATACTGCTAAAGTTGCATAGCAAGTAGGTTTGAGGTTTTGGGGTGTTTCTTAACCTGGGCTGCAGCAGATGGAAGGAAGCATTACAGTGGGACCTTAAAGCCTGGGGAGGGGCAGCAAATTCAGTGTCACTGGCAGTATTTTAAGCAGCACCTGCAGCACCTCAGGAGAGTGTGCTAGAAAACATGCTTTATTCTTACATAGCCATCAAATGCTTCTGTAGTTCGAGGCACAATCAGTGGAATTACAGAAACGTGCATTTAGCTGGGAAGAATGAGGTAATAACAATTAAGGGAAAAACCCACTTGCTGATAATCCTCTGCAAGTATAGCATGAAAGGAAAAGATTTAATTCCCATTGTAGCTCAGCTGATCTCTGCTACTGCAAAGTGGTGTACTGTTAGGCTGGATTCAGAGGCAACCAGAACCTTCAGTTGAATTAGTCAAGCTTTCACCGCTTCTTTGGACCAAGAGAGGCATTTCAAGGAGGATTTAAATATTAGGAGAGTGCTCAGTTTTAACAGAATAGGCTTTTCTAGGTGCTTATTAACTGTTTTACTCTGTGTATCTGTCCACAGTGTTTGAAAACCTGGGACAGTGTATTTGGAGTAGAAGGGACAGAGATGCTCAGTCATTGTGGTGATGGATGGGTTTATGTCAAATGAAAGAAGCTGCTCATAACTTTCTGGGAAGATGGACAGAGAAAGATTGGTCTGAAATTACAGCCCGAGCTAAAAGGAACACTTGGTACCCAAGTGCATCATTACTTCTGTTGTGGTATTTCAGTTGTGTTAAGAGCCACACAAACATAAACCAAAAAGATCATCCTTTTGTCTGTTCCTGCTTTCCTTTCCAATTAAACGCTTGTATCTGAATGCTTCCTGTAGCAGCAAGTAGGGCATAGGGTGGAAGATAGCTTCATTCTCTGCAGTAAAAGGAGCTTAGAATCTTGACTAATGAAATCCATAGTTAGTTAAGGGACAATAATGTTCATTTTCTCATTCACAACTCGGTCCCTTTCCATTAAAACTGCAACCTTAAACTGTATGGTCTATTTTAGGCGATAATCTGTAATTAATGACTGGATAATGGCAGTTTTGTTGGTGGAGGTTAGCATGGTGTGTTTGAGGATACAATTCAAAGTCAAACAATTTCCCTTTTACAATTAATTCAGTGTCACATTGGTGCAAAAATATGCCGGTGTTATCAGCCAGTCCAGCATTCCTCATCAATTAAAGGATTGCTCATACAGCTTTTGCAGCACATCATAAAGCCTTTGTTCCCAGCTGATCAAAGCACCACTTCACAGTGATCAGATGCTGTCAACAAGCAGAGATCCTCGGGGCACTTGTGGCTGTTCCTTCTTGCTTCTCTTCAGCAGGGAGCATTTGTGGCTCCAATTGTGTCGGCAAGAGGCACAGCTGGTTTTGCTCAGAGAATACAATTACATTCTAAATGTCTGGCAACAAAGGCATTAAAAAGAAAGAGCTGCATTCAGAGGCTTCTGGAATTGAGGAGCTGATAGCTAGCCTACCACTCCACACACTCCCGTGCCAGACAAGCTGCAAATTTAACACCTCGGGATGCTTCTGATGAGCTTCCATCTCTCACACCTATTTCTGACCTCCAGCCCTGTGACAGTCTCAAGTGGTGCTTCCCTGGTGTCCTTCCCCACACCGCTCCTGAGGCAGGAGCCCCGCGGAACGCTCCTGCCCTAGTCCTGCCACAACAGAGAGGGAGGGAGGGCAGAGTTCTCAGCACTGAGAAACGCCCCGGGTGAAATGTGTGGGAATGGCTTAATTTCATAGGGAGGTAGGTGTATGGCTCTGAAACTTTCTCAAAGACTACTGTAGAAGAAGATCCATGATCTTTACCCAGTATGGCTGATCTGGGTTAATACAACTATGATCATCATTTTTGTTGTGGGGTTTTTTGGTTTTTTCCTAGCCCACTATCAGAGTCAGTTGTA